AATAAGTTGGCCACCTTTGAATTTTGGTGTTACAGAAGAATCCTACGAATATCATGGATTCAAAAAATGTCAAACATGGAAGTAACTAGAAGGATAGGAAATGAGGCGGAAATAATATTAACTATTAAAAGACGAAAACTTGAGTACTTGGGACATGTGATGAGAGGGCAAAAATTCGCATTATTACAACTTATTATGCAGGGCAAAATCCGAGGAAAGCGAAATGTGGGAAGACGAAGAATATCCTGGCTTAAGAACTTAAGGGAATGGTTTGAATGCAGTAGTGCAGAACTTTTTAGAGAGGCAGTCAACAGAGTCCGCATAGCCATGATGATTTTCAACCTTCGATAGAAGATGGAACTTAAAGAAGAAGAATGGACTCCAAAAACATTTCCCTTTAAGAAACATTCAAAGAAGAACTAAAATTATTTTATATAAAACATTGCTGAAGCCAGTCCTCATAAGATATAATTTTGACTTGTATCAGCTCTTTGATGAGCCAGATGTCATAACGTTCATTAAAACACAGCGACTTAGATGGGCTGGACACATAATACGAATGCCAGAAAATACGATTGCTAAAAAGCTAACCACATGAACACCTGTAGGAAGACGAAGCAAAGGCCGACCGCCTTTGATGGGTGGGTGGTTGATGTGTTTGATTAGGTGGCTAGATGGAATTGAAACCGACTTACGGATATTAAAAATCAGAAGATGGCAACATGTTGCCAGAAACCGAACAGAATGGCGACGAATCTTACAGCAGGCCAAGATCCACAGAGGATTGTGGAGCCAAAGATGATGATTAAAATTAACGACATAGGGGATAAAGGTCATATGTCATAAAATGATGTTGTTAAGTAATGAGCATTTTAGTGTCTTTTGTTTTAAGTTAATAATTTATATTATAAATTTGTATTGCTACACTTTTCTAAATAGCTATCTGAAGGTATTATTTTACACTAGAATTAAAAAAAGTTACCTTAAGTTAAATAATTACTATTTAAATGGGAATAAGCCACAATTAACGGATAAAGTAAGTTTATTGACATTTCATTTTCCACTTCGGAAATCGTTCTGAAAATTCAAACTTTATAATATCCATAACATTCATAGCAGAACAATGTAGCAGCATATTTGAAATAGTTAACCCTTCGCAAGATCCCGGTTTATTTACTGCAGATCTGTAATAAATAACTAAATACGGACCCGAATATCCCGAAATCAATATTCCCCGAAAACGTCATTCATAGCAGCTATCATTACTACATTTACATTTTTTATGAAAATATCGTTGTTGTCTATTCGTCCAATATGGGAAGTCACTAAATCTTTGAATACTGCTAAAGACGGAATATTGATTGGCTATTTTTGGGTTTATGTGTTTTGAGATAAAAATAGATAAGAATGGCATACGGATATATGAAATAGAATTTTTATTTCTAATGTATAACAAGAAAATAATGAAAGCTTTCTTTTTAATAAAAAAATTATATTGTTAAATGTTTAATTGTTCTTCTTCTTCTGCCGATTGGTGACTTATGTCTTGCTATTTTAACGACACAAGTCTCCTCCATTCTGCTTATATGTAATTATTCCATTCTTTTTTTCTATTTTGTGTTCATTTATTTATACATTTTACGATACATTATCTTCTAATGTCTTCACTTATCTATCGATATCTTAGCATTTTTTTGTAATTCTTCTCATCACTCTTATCTCTGCTGTTTTCTATTAATTAATTGTAATAATGTTTAAAAACGATCTGCAAACTGTTTAACGATATTAAAGTTTTCGAAACCATCTTATCTGTAGATCAATTCAACAGCTTTTGCAATGCAATGCAAAAGCTTCGTGTTAATAAAATAGTAAATATCTTATTCCTAAAATTAATTTTTAAATAAACACGTTAAAATATTTGTCCTAATTTGTTTTTATGTTAACCAAGTGTAAAATCTTTTAAAACCTTTTAAAATCTACCTAATTTTCGACTCCAAGAAAACATATCTTTATTCTTTCCATGACTGCCAGATTTTGTAACTGCTTGTTAACCCAGTCACTTCTAAAGCGTGTTTTATTCGAGTGTTCTTGAATCGTAAAGAAGATGACACCAATAACTAACGTTTTCAAGCCATTTTTTACCTTAGCGCTCGCTTTCACCCTTTAAGTCAGCGGAGTTTTCGTTTAAACAATACGTTTTACTGTTACCCTAAGGAGGTTTCAAATAGTCGACATAAAACCGAAGTTATTACGGAGGTCTCCGCGATCTGAAATTGTTTATTTAAACGGGAAACGTGCAGGTTGGGGAGTCGTTAACGAAGAAATGCACTGGGAATGCTGATATAAAATGTTTTAGGAAAAAGAGAAAAATCAAAACAGGAAGTCCATAAAAATCCAGTATTTATAGATGGCACTTTAATAGGAGGTATAAAAATGAAAAAAGTAGGTGTAAAAACAGTTTTTAGCAACATTCTACAGGGCAGATAAAGTAGATTAAATTAAAACGCATATGAAGGGAACATGGCTTAAAACCATGAAAGTCCTTCTGATATTTATTTATTTATCGTATGGGATGGCACGGATTAATTTGCAGATTAGTCCTTGTCTCCAGAGAGTATTGTATGCAGTAAAACCTGCTTCAATATGTGTTGTTAAGGATAGGATCTGATCTGTGCAGCTGCGGTTATGTCTGAACCCTGCTTGCTCAATAGGTATCAGTTCAAATACGTTTCTACTAATTCTGTTGTAGATTAAGCGTTCCAATAGTTTATAGACACAGCTCAGCAAAGCAATCGGTCGGTAGTTTTGAGGCTGATTATTTGCCCTTCTTGGTTTTAGTATGGCTATAATTGAGGCCTTTTTTAGCGGATGGGGGATTTCTCTTGATTTTAGCATATTTGTATAGAAATCAGCCAGCCATTTCCTAGCATATTTGCCACAATGGAGTAAAAATTCTGGATGAATTTTATCAGAGCCGGGTGCCTTAGAGTCTTAAGGATTTAATTTATAATAATTAATAAGGAAGACTTAATTTCTGATGTTGCTGAAATAATATCTTCTGGGGCAAACTCGTCAGAGTATTCAGATATAGGCGGACATGCAGACTTTGGTATTTTTAGTTCTCATTTGACTTTGGTGGTGTGATCACCATCTCAAGGAGCTCTTGAGGTTGCTACAATGTGGGAGGTTACTCTGTGGGGAGCTATTGGTACTTTATCACTAGTTAGAAGGTTACTACTACCAAATTTTTTAAGTAAAGACCATGCATTTCTGCTTGATTTACTGAAGTCTAATTTTTCCACAGTTTCATCAATTTTTGTCGTCTGACTGCATCCAAACTGTGCAGTAGTTCGTCTGCAATTTCTCGATCTTGGCTTTCAATGTATTCTTGATACAATTTTTCACATTTTTCATCCCATCCTGTAACATACTCTTTACGATATCCTCTGGGCAAACAAATATTATGTAGTTTAAACGTGTTGGGGGTATCCATCCCAGACATTTGTCCAATCTTTTAGTAAAAGTCGTTCAGTATGCTTTTTGAAAGTTCCACCTAGGTCAGGGAAAAGATGATATTATTGGCATTTTGATGCCAATTTCTATTACAACTGGTCTATGTTAGCTATATGGAAAATCTGCCAATACTGTACGTGAAGCTGTCAGTGGTTGATTGCTTTCATTTGTGGAAACAAAACATAGGTCTGGGTTGTATTCTCGCCTCCAGGCTGCAGATCGAAAAGTTATTCTGATATTAAATATCGATAGCAATTAAAGTAAGCTGTATACCCAAGCTTAATCAAGCCATCAGAGCGATCATAGGAATATTAAAATTCCACTATGCATCAACAATTTACCCATGTAAATTACTATCATTTTTGTACTCATTGCGTCGAGTAAGGACAATAACAAAATGATGACTTGTAGATCCAGAAACACGTGTAAGAGAGTGATAAGAGACTCAAATTATATCGAAACGCAACCGACGCAATGAGTACAAAAATGATAGTAATTTACATGGGTAAATTGTTGATGCTTAGTGGAATTTTAATACTCCCAGCATCGCTCTGAATGACTTGATTAAGCTTGGGTATATAGTTTACTTTTATTGCTATCGATATTTAACTTCATCTTTCCTCACTAGAGGTTTCTAGTAGCATACTCTGGTAATTATTTTCTTATAGTTGCCTTAGTAGTAGGTGCGTTTGGATTTGGTTTGAGTCTTCTTACAAACTCCTTCTGATGACGGGTAGACCCAGAAAGACCAGGGTAGACGTGTTAGGGAGTGGTAAGAGACTCAAATTAAATCGAAACGCAACCGACATTTATTTTCTTCTGATATTATTATAAGAAAACTTAAATTGTAAATTTAGGGACTACATCTATAAAATTGGTTAAGATAAATATTAATTTATTTATCAATTACACCTGCAGGTATTATTAAATAGTAAAAATGAAAAGTTTAACATTTTGTGTTAAAAGTATTTTATTGAAAATATAAAAAAAAAACACTAACAAAGGTGGTGTGTCATATGTAAAATCAATAAAAGTCCAGGCTTTTCATTGGTCTGTAAACATTATCAGTACCATTAGTTATCATCATATCTGACATTGTTAGCATAAGGTAAACTATCATTATAGTCCTTGGCTGATTAAGAACAAAATATTTTCAAAGCCTGAATATCTTTGAACTTCAGCTCAGGAATAGTCAGTTTGCCTGTGTAAGCCTTGCTGTGCTAGTGAAAATTCATGATTGTTATTCATTACTTTTTTGTCAGCCGTAGTTGTTGCGGATTGTTAATTGTGCTTGACAACCATGTGCTACTGTAATTTTCTGTATGACACGAATGACGTAGACACTAATGTGTCCAGCGCATCAGCATTCCAGATATTCTTAGACATAGCGAGTAGCTTCTGCTGCAACTAACTGGTGCATGTTTAAAAGTAGCCTAGTAACATTTTTATAAAAATGAGTTAAGAATTGTTTTTAAGATTAGTTCATAATGAACCAAGTTTTTACCAAGAAAAGCAGAGGATGTAAGAGTTTAATGGCTATAATATCACCAATAGAGACAGTGATTCATAATTAGAACCAGTGATGTAGACGATAGTTGTTTAGAAGACAACTTAACAAACATCTAATCAAAAGAAATACACAAGAAGAATTAAATGGCGGTAAAAATAACAATTTAAATGACAGTGCACAAGTGTCAAGATAGCGAGTACACAGAGAATAGAAGAAACACATTAGTGAGAAGAGTAAATATACGAAGAAGGTTGCATTTCGATTTAATTTGAGTCTCTTACCACTCCCTGACACGTGTTTCTAGGTCTACCCGTCATCAAAAGAAGTTTGTAAGAACAATCAAACTAAATCAAAACGCACCGATTACTCTGGCAATTACAGGAAAATAAATACCAGAGCAACTAGAGACCTCTAGTGAGGAAATATGAAGATACGTCGATGGCAATTAATGTAAACTGTAAACCCAAGTTTAATCAAGCTATTCAGAACGGTGCTGGGAATTATTTATTCCACTATGCACCAACAATTTACCCATATAAATAACCATCAATTCTTTTTCTCAGAAGAGTAAATGTCAAAACCCATCGACACAACATTGCAGAACACTTAGTTTATCTTAAAGAACACAATATGTCTTCTAAAGCTCTAGAGAGATTTAGAAATGTCGAAAGATCTAACTCTCGATTAAGAGTCAAATTAGCATCTGCACCTGCACTCGGTAGAAAACTTTCTACATCCATATGGATAGTTAACGCACATACAAACCGAATGATTGTCGGTATAAGTAATCCCTCACTACTGGCCAACAGCTTCAGGTGGAGAAGCTAGTAATGGTAAAGCATTTTTGTCCTGAAGTAAACAAATTTACATCAAAGGTGGACAAACTACCAAAAAGTAATCTACTGCATACAAATGTGAAAAAACCACGGGATGACTACCACATTATAGATCCAGAAGGACATCCCACGTTAAACAATGTTGACAATAATGCAAAATGTAATGCATTTTAGGACAGCGCGCACAAAGAGACATCTATGTTTCAGTTTCAGTACTGTTTATTTTGGGCAATTCGCTGTGAGTTTCGCCGGTAGCGCTCTCTCGCGGTTTGAAACTTGTACTTTTCTTGTAAAATCGGTGTAAGTGAAATATGACAAAACAAGAAAAATAGATATTTATCTAAAAATACAAAATTATGAACTAAAATATTATTGTAAACTGATTACTGAGCGAGAACACAGAATTAATAGTAAAAGTAATTACGCCTTTTTATTTTATTCATTATAATTTTAATATTTAAGATATAAGTTCCTGCGACTGGATGACTACTTACGTAAGAGGCTATGGAGAAAAAGAAGAAGTTTATGTGGAAATTATTAATGGTTAAAGGTTACTTTTACCCATCGAGCAATAAGACAAAAGAGGGAATCTAATCGTTATGAAAAGGAGACCAAAAAAGTGGCCTCTGATGGCGGACATATCCGGAAATGCAAATGCGCCAAATTTAAATTTCATGACACTTGACAATAATCATACAGTGGTGTAGGGGTTCTAATTTATCTATTTATTTATTTTATATTACATAATATTGTATATTATCTATTTATTTATTAAAAAACTTTTTTTAACACTAGAACACAATAAAGTTTTAATTAATTAATAACGATAATAGTCTAAAATGTTAAACAACTGTTAAAAAACTTCAATAGAAAATATAAATAAGCTTTCATGTGACAGTTTTGACAAACAATAACATCAACAATAACATAACCCAACTAAATTTGATTTCTTAAACAAGGAAAGAGATTCTCTTTCTTTGTTTAAAGTGGCCTCTCAAAGTAGCACTTCCTGTCTATCAATATGTTTACCCCCACTACCTTTACATTCCCTCTTTTGTCTTATTGCTCGATGCTTTTACCTCTCGTAACCATGATACTATGACTAAAAAGATAAGATAACGCATAAAACGTGACGTCATTGGAGAGTTGCACGTTCGAAATGTCAGTTTTTTGTGTGTCTCAATAAATAATCTTTAATAAATAGTTTAAAGATATCTTTATGTGTACGATTATTGTAATTATTAAACCTCTTAACTTATTTTCGTCTAGTAATTTCATCACAGAATGCATACAAATCGCATTTAACTTTAACAAGAATTCAAATTCTACTCTCCAATGACGGCATGCGTGAACACGACCGATTTTGTGCTACGGGAAGATTCTATCTTGTTAGTCATAGTATCATGCTTGTAACGTTGTAATTCTTGTTTTCATTTTGCATTTTCATTCTGTTTTTGCTCAGTTATTTTTTGTGTGCTTAGGCCTTAGTGCTTAGATATCAATTTGTTTTAATTTTATCAAAAAATTAAACATTATATTGGTTTTAAGTCTATTCCCATTTCAACCAGCTACACCAAAAATCTTATTGATAGCAATAATCCATTTTTCTCTTTGAACTATTTTATGCTTGGCAACAGGAAATGAATAAAATTTAAAATCACTTATACCCAGTATTTTTACATGTATCAATACAACAGCTGCTGTATCTTTTTCTTTTTGAAAAATCCATATTCGCCATTATTTGAATGTTTACAAGTTAAATGCACAAAACTGCCACTAACAGCGTTGGTGAAAACTGTCAAATCCCCTCTACTCATCGGCTCACAGCGAATACTGAATTTATGACCTTGGAAAGAGTGGGAATGGGAGAAATAATGTGGATGGTGTGTTATGTTTCTTGTGAATGTACTTTGTTTTATATTTATTAAATATACTTTATTATATTTATTAACTTAATAATAGTTTTTAAGGTACGTAAACAACACCTAAATATTACAAAACTAATAAAAGTGGATCGTAAAGAAAATGTGAATTAGAAACAAAAATAGATAAATATGTGAAAAGAAGAGAAATGTATACAAATCTCAAAATACGTATTTTTTATTAAAATAAACTTTTACCAAATATATCACAGTCAACTTAAGCTTATTATTTCTCGAGACCTAGTATACCCGTTTTTCCCCAACAAACAACACTTAAACCAATCTTGATGGCCTTTATTAATATTTCAGAACATCATTCATATAAGCTAGTATCATTATTACGTTTACATTTTTTATGACATCGACGTTTCTATCAGTCCAGTAAAATTTGAAATCACAAAATCGTTGAATACTAGTAAAGATGGACTATCGATTGCTCGGATACTTTTTCACGTTATTTAAGGTAAATAGATTACCGAAAACTAGAAGGAAAAAACGAAACACTGTATCGCTTGAAGTAAACAAATTATTGCCCTTAAAGAAAAAAACAAGTTGTACATCACTTCGGCCATTTAACTGGGACCCTTTTGAATAAATTATGTTGGCAAACAACAGTTGCTAGTCATAGATTAGGTCGGTTCGGGTTAATAATATATTTATGCTTGTATAGAGAAAAGTGGATGAGATAGAAAACGATGCAAATAATTGGTTATTTTGCAAGAATAACATTTAGTAAACTAAATAACCAGACAAGTTGGACATTAGATTATCATTAAGAATGAATACAATGCAAAAAAGTTAAAAGTGCCCATTTAGTGCATTATTTTTGTAAAAAATAGCAAGATTATGCTTAAAATGTGACAATAATGTTTAAAATATGCAGATAATGCAATCTAAACCACCATATTTAGAATAAACAGTAATACTATTTTTTGAGGATTTAAAATTCTATTCTAATATACGCTGATGATCTACTTATTTACTGTAGTGGAGCAAGCATATCCAGTACATCAAATCTTATTCAAAATGCTGTAAGCAACGTATATTCTTGGTCTACATAACACGGCATCAAAATTTCCAGTTCAAAATCTATGATACTAAGATTTAAAAAAAAAAGCAAAGTGTTCAAAACACGGAAATATATCTTAACGATGTTCCTTTGCCTACAGTATATCATGATAAAATCTTGGTGCTAATATTCGATCATAAGTTAAGCTGTAAAATGCACATAAAAAATCTAAAGGACAACTGTGCTGGTAAACTAAACATATTGAAAACACTTGCACATTATCAATGGAGAGTTGAAGAAAATATGTTATTGAGAATCTATAGAGCTCTTATTCGCTGTAGATTAGATTATGGATGCATGCTCTACATGACCGCCTATAATACTTATCTTAAATTTCAAAATTTAACCTCCTTACGTATATGTCTAGGTGCATTTCGATCTAACACCGCCGAAAGCATGTGTATTGAAGCTTTGGCACCTCCTCTTTTTATACGACGTCAGCTTTTACTCTCTTCCTATTTCACTAAAGTTTTCGCCAACTCAAAAAACCTAGTTATTAAGCTTATTAACATCCACCATTCTGAAATGAGCGACAGATATATTTACCCCCTTCCACAATTAGTAAATCCTTGGCTAACAGCTATAAACCTGAATATAACTACCCCATAAGTACTTCCAATGTTTCTCCGTGGACCAATAAGCTACCTGCTTTCAATACTAGTATAATTCGACATAAAAAATAAAGACACTCCTAACCACCTCCTTATACAAATATTTTAAGAAGCAATAAATGCAAAACATTACAATAAAGTTCTTTATACCGACGCATCTAAAGATAAAAAGAATATTGGCTGTCACTTATAATATTCACACTGCAGAATTATATGGTATCCTTAAAGCTCTTGAAAGGACTTCTACTAATACGAAATCTCTAGCTATATGCACCGATTCTCTTTCTTTAATTCAGTCCATTGGCAACATATACTCGTTAAATCCTATAGTCCAAAAAATTTAATACATCTGTCATCAAAACCACGACAGAGAAACATCAATTACAATTCATTGGATCCCATATTATGTGGGAATCAGTGGAAATGAGTCTGCAGATATCGTAGCAAGAAAAGCAAGTTGTTCTGACTTCCGTCTAAAAAAAATTCAACTTCATCAAGATCAAGCAGCAACCACAAAACAAAACACCCGTAAAACATGGCAAAATCATTGGAATAGGCAAACCACAAAACTGCACATAATTAATTCCACTGTGTACTCATTTAATATACCAACAATAACTAGGAGGGACAAACTCACTTTACTCACGGATATCTGATGACTTTCCAAAACTCACCTACTTGTGAACATTGTGATTCTCACCGCCTAACAAAAAAAAACCAATTTGCAACACTATATTGTTCCAAATCTAATATAACTTACTGTATTTATCTTATATAATGTAATAATCTTATATGTATAATGCAGACATTTTTGTACCCGTTTCAATGGTCATAGATATCCAGACACGTTAATTTCAATAAAAAAAAGTGTACTGTGACGGGTGAAAGGTATTTAGAGATGTTGCTAACCTACGTAGCTTTATTTGGACTTCACTATTTCCAGATATCAATAATCCTGGTCAAATAAATCCAACAATTTGATTTCATCAGAATGGAGCAAGTCCACATTATGCTGTAATGGTTACAATTTTTCTAAATGCAACTTTCCTAATCGCTGAATGCATTTTTTAAGTTGCTGGTATAATTTTTCCGCTGATGTATTTTCTCTATCCACATTTTGTAATTTTGTGGCCACTCTTAATTTGTAAAGAAATTTTGTTGAATATTTTAAGCTTTCTAAGTTATATTTATGATATGTTACTTCTTATCCCTTTTCTATATTCTGTACCACAATCTTATTTTTTGCGATATTTAGCTATTACGTTGGCCATAAGTTAACGATGGTCAGATCCACATTCTGATCCACAGTATACCCTTACATCAGTTGTTTTCAGCTGGGAAGTTTGATGATGGATTACATAGTCGATTATCAAGCGCAAATTCCTAGTAGGTTCTATATATGTAAATTTGTGGATGTCTCTATGTTAAAAAACTCCATTCATAATTTTGAGAGACATTGTTTTACAAAAATCTCTAAGAGACATTCCGTTGTCATTGGTTTTTTGTTTCCCATATCTTCCTACAAATCAGTTATTTTCTTCTCTTCGTATTCTGCCGTTTGAATCATCTAGTATAAAGATTTAAATGATGATTGCCATGATAATCGTCAACATTCATAACGGATAGGCACATCAAGAAGAATAAATAAATAAATAAATAATAGCTTTATTACCCAACAGTTTCCCATTTCTAGGGTAAAAATTTAAGATAAATTTTTAATTAGTATACAATCATCAGTAGGTGATACAAAAATATCAAGTAAAAAAATAAGTGTAAAAACTAAGTAGGTGAAAAACAAAATAAAGAGTGAGAATAATATAATTAAACAAATCACTATGTAAAAATAAAAAAAAATACACACAAAAAAATTAACAATCTAAGTTACTCCATAAACCAGTGCGCTATCAATCAGATGATTAATTGAGCATGAAAAAATATCACAACGGTTGCATATTTTGTTATAATTATCGCACATAATATAAATGGGTGACTTCAGTAACATATTTGTTCTCGTACGTGGACAAGTAAACACGATAATCGACCTGGAAGTAATTCTTGGCACATTAAATCTAATTTGACCTAATATATCACTGCAGTCAATACAGTTGTGTAATAACTTATATAAAAATGAAACCGAAAATATAATTCTTCTTAACTCTAAACTTACAATATTAAACCTGTTACATAACAAATTATAATCATAACCATGTACGGGATATACTCGATCAACCTTAAATGCTAAATATTTTAAAAGTTTCCGTTGTACCTTTTCAATCTGTTGCATATAACATTTATAAATGGGATACCAAATTAAACTACAATATTCTAGTTTTGTTCGCACTAGCGATATATACAGCAGTTTAATCGGTCTAATATCGCTAAAATTTCTATAGTTTCTGATGATAAAACCGTACATTTTGATAGCATCGGATACTTTTTGCTCAATATGGTTGTTAAAGGTTAATTTTGAATTAAATATAACTCCTAAATATTTAATGCTATTACATTTTTCAATATCTGACCCCTGAATTACATAATTAAAATCAACATTTTTTTCCTTTCTAGAATAACTTACTACTTTACACTTATTGACATTAAGAAAAAGTTTGTTTTTTATACACCACGTGTGTATATAATTTAGATCGTTCTGTAAATCTATACAGTTAGCAACTGTTTTAATTTCACAGTATATTTTAAGATCATCCGCAAAACATAATTTTCTGTTATTGATACCTAAAAATAAATCATTGATATATAATAGGAACAACAATGGACCTAAATTTGATCCCTGTGGAACACTGGATGTAGTGAAGATTAATTCTGATATGACACCATTAAAGGATACAAATTGGTTCCTACCTATTAAATAGCTTTCAAGTAACTTTAAGATATTTCCAGCAAATCCCAAATTTGATAATTTAAAGAGAAGGTATTTGTGATCAACCTTATCAAACGCTTTAGAAAAATCAGTATATATCACATCTACTTGACCTTGTACATCCAAAACATCTGAAATATATTGAGTTATTACAGCTAAGTTTGATACAGTAGAGCGTTTATCTATAAAGCCATGTTGATATCCATCCCCTTACAGAAGGGTAAATACGATTATATAAAGTTTTTTCGAAAATCTTTGAAAAATTGGATAACAAAGATACCGGTCTGAAATTGGATACATCAGATTTCGTTCCGTTTTTGAACACAGGGCATATTTTTGCATTTTTCCACAATTTGGGATTTTTCCAAAAGTTCCGGTTTTTAATGATAAGTTAAACATTTTTTGAAGTGGCTTTACAAATACCCGAGAACAATCTTTCACTAAAAATGCTGGAATATTATCCGGTCCGGACGTCAATTTAGTTTTAATTCTTTTAAACGCTACTAAAATTCGTTTTCTTGAAATTCGTTAAAATTAATAGTGGGTAAGTAGATATCCCTACATTCTTGATTATCAAATACTTTGTTGTCGACAGGTAAATAACCTTTTTCAAAAAACATCTTAAAAGCATGGATTATATCGCGAGGATTATTAAATGTATAACCATTGTAACACATTTCACCTGGGATTCTAGAAGTTTTATTCTTTGCATGAGCATATGCCCAGAAATTATTAGATTCGTTAGAAATACTATTCTGAATTTTTTCAAGATAAACGTTATATTCAGGTTTAATCATTTGTTTAATTATTTTTCGCAACCTTTTAAATTCATGCATATAAAGTATATTACCTGTTTTCTTATAATTTGTGATATTTTTTGATTTCAACTTTATCATTTAAATTTTATCATTATCAGATAAAGATTTCACAGTTTTCTTTAACTTCAGAGAGTCTTTCATTCATCTTGTAGAATTCGTCTTTACTTTCTGGAAGAGCATCTTCATTTGGACATACACTCCGATAATTACGATTTTGTGACCATTTGTTTTGATTTCCAGTATTAGCAGTTGTTCATTTACTTTACTCCACGATTTACTATTGTTTTAAGATTTTTTCGAGTGGCAATGGAGACTCCTCTCTTAGTTCGGTTATCGTTACTCACTCCACTGTCGATATGTATATATTCTCATATCTCTTTATTTACTTTTTCCTTTTTCTTGGACTCGTTGAGAATACATATATCTATTTTTCTTTAAAATTAACAAAAAATGCAAAAAATGGAATAAAATGCAAGTTGCATATTATTTGCCCTTTTATCACTGATGTACACGAATCTTATGTTGTATTAAGTGTTCTTTATAAACATATTTTTAATTAAAATTGTATCTACAATCAGTGGTATTCGTCAATACGGTTTCACTGCAGATTTAAATTCCAGCAATAACTTGGAAACAATTTTTTACAGGTTCCAAAGGAATCGGCAACCGTTTCGAAGAACAAAGACTTACATTGCGGATACACAGGGGTAAAGGTTCTTCCGGAAAACGCACATATGGTTCACCGCATAGTAACGGCAGTAACAGCACCACCACCACTGGCAGCGCCAGTGCTAGTCCCAGTCCTTCCACTAGGGGGCGCCAAGAAAAAGTCAAGATTAGCGTTAGTCATCCATCGTCTGAAAATTTAGCACCGTCGTTGTTGGCGGTAAGTAAATATATCAAAGTGGGTTTAAATTGAGTAAGAATGTTGAAGAGAAACTTTTACGAAACGTCTCGCTAAAACACGTCAATTCTCTTTAATTACTAAAAAAAGAGTTTTAAATTTTCTTTCAAACTATTTTCTTGAAATGTAGGTAAAAAGTAGTTCACAACTAAACACAATATCGACTTTTCTACAAGAAACAAATAAATTTTGATTCTATAAGTATATAATAACTAACTTGTTAGATATTAGAATTATTTTAAACTTCTGAAATGATGTAAAATTGTTTTCTATATAAAAATATATCGATGGAAACAAAGTTCATATCAGTAATACACATGTTGTGCTTATAGCTATAATATCATTTACGTATTGAAATGCACACAGCACTAAGAGGATCTCTCTTTGAAGGCTTTCTAATTAGTCATATCTTTGATAAAGTTCCGACACACCTCTGCCCGATTCAGGCTCATTCGCCATGCAGGTGAGGATGCATTCAGATGTACATAGATAATTTAATTCTATTGAAATGTGTACATATAGTTGAAGTGACTTCCAGCGGAAACTAGGAAACAGTGTAGACGACAATATAAAGTGTATTATATAACGTTTATATAATTAAATAGCTTATTAAAAATGGCAAATAGCCCAAACATTTAAGCAATAATTAAGTGTAAAAAATACTTATAACAGACCGATAACCAAGAAATTAGACAAGTTGAAAATCTACGTGTCTTGAAAAAGTAGCGATATGTTCTGTAGCCTTCTAAAATTACATAAAACCAAGACTGTTTAGAGAAAGTAAGTAGTATTTATTTTCATATTTTATATTTAATATTTTTCTTTTACTGTACTATAATGCGATCTAATTTAATTAATTGCATATTCTATCGACTTTGCTTTAAAATATTTATTTATTTTTACTCACAATGGCATTTTTTATAGCATAATCCTAATATTAACTAATTACAATTATTTTAAACACAACTTTAACGTAAATATGTATATATAACATTCTTAACTACTCTGGAGGACCTGGTGTATAATATTTCTCCATTCGCTTCTATTTTGTGCTTTATTTTCCAGTCCCTTACCTTCACGTGTTTAAGGTCTTCCTTTACTTTACTAATCCACCTCGTTCTGGGTCTACCTCTTCCTGTGAATGTATAAAGCCATTAATTTATTGTTGGTTCTTCTCTCCCAACCATCTTCTGTCTTCCGTCCTCCGAATATGCGTCTTAATATTTTCTTTTCCCATCTTTCCAGAGAATCCTCTTCCTTCTTATTTAATGTTTATGTCTCACCGGCATATGTTGCTGTGGGTCGAATTACTGTTTTATATATTCTGAGTTAACCTTGTCTAGAAACGTATTTTGAGTTCAGTATGGCTCTTAAACTATTTAATTTTTTATTCCCTTTTGCTATTCTGACTTCGAGCTCCCATTTTTTTCCATTTTCATCGAAAACTACACCCAGGTATTCAAATTTGTCCACCCTTTTAAAACTATACCTTTTACCACTTACGAACCTCACACTAAAGTCTTCTTTTTTTCCTTTTGTCCCTTCCATCATTTGTGTTTTGCTTTGTCTTCATTTAGTTCTAATCCGAATTTCTGTGCTTCTTCGATGATTTTCTTCAGAACTCTTCTTGATTCTTTCTCGGTTTTTGCTAGGATCGTTAGATCGTCAGCAAATGCCAAGCACTAGTGCTCATTTTTCATGATCGTTTTTTCCACCTTCATGCTGCATTTTCTGATTACAGTTTTTAACACTAAGTTGAATAATGTAGTGGATAAAGACTCTCCAGTGTCTCAAGCCTTTTGCAACCGTAAATTGATCTGATATGTGACCCTGCCAAGCAATTTCACACGTAGATTTACTAGGTGTCATTTTAACTAGCCGGATCAGTTTCTTTGGTATACCCAAATGTTCCATTGCTTAAGGCCTATCCTCGATAATCCTAACGGTAAAATTCAGTGAGCTATCTATTTCAAAAATATCTTTCTTTACGAAAACAAAATCCATTCACGAAGAATATTCTAAACGTCATCTGGTACTAAATTTTATATTTTTACCTACTTACAACCCCCTATTGTGAAGTCTTGGGTGTATACAATAAAGCGAGCGGGAGGTCTTCTATTCATTGCGATTATGGGGTAATTAGAATAATAGAAGTATACCAAAGTAATATTATTTATTGAATAATTAATTCACAACTTAGCAAGGGTACATACAGGTAACAAATCATCGTCCTGTAAATAATTCATAACAATTAAATCGAAGACAAACTTTTATAAAATTTTATAACAAAATAATGTATAACAAGATATAAGTGTATTGGTTTTTTTATGTCTTATATTTTCTTTTGTTATTGTTTTTTTGCTGACAAATTGGCTTTTAACGTATATTACAGTTTGACGATAAATATTCTGAAATGGAAAATGTTGAGATGTGGCGAATAAAACATTCATGAAATTAAAATGAAGGGATTTACGTCTATTAGTGGTGCGATTTATAAAATTAGTAGCTCAAATCGCAGGAGGAATATATGCATTAGTTTTCAAATATTTATTATTTACGATATAATTTCTAAATTGAACCACTTTCACTTCTTTAGGTAACAATGTATCTGTCTTGACAACTAAATAGGTAATTAGACAAAATAATGATTATTATTAGTTTCAAAACAGGAGTTTAAAGAATTAGAAGAAGGTAGTCCGGGCCCAGTTAAACAATCAAGTTTATTCCAGTGGAAGCAATCAGGAGGATTATTTTTCGTTTTGGCTCAGCCGACATGCTCTCTCTAGCACTAGAACCCATGAAACTATGGTAAAAAGCATGCTTTTATTTACACGGTTGTGAAACGAGACGATTAACAGAGACATCGAAGAAAGATATGTCGCTGAAATGGATGCAATAAAGTATAAGAATAGAAGGTACAGTCATGGATGGCATACAATGAAGGCATCTCAAATGGTACGGACATGTCCAATGAATGAAAGACAGTAGACTCCCGAAACAAGTACCTCTATGAACAACTACAGGAATCCAGAAGAGAGGACTACCGTAGAAAACACGGATGGAAGGAATAAAAAACTCAATGAGCTCGAAAGTACTTAAAGAACAATGGAATAACCGAATTCAATGAAAAATGGACGTCGGAAGACGTTTTATACGGATTATATCATATTACGAGTATAGGTACATTGTTATTATATCATATTATATATATTTATATAATATATTATATACACGATATTGAAGGAGGTTACAACATAGACAATCAACAAAATCTACATTGTCAACTACATATTGAAGACCCAACGATAATAGAATGGAATAATGAGAATAGAAGGTACAGTCATGGATGGCATACAATGAAGGCATCTCAAATGGTACGGACATGTCCAATGAATGAAAGACAGTAGACTCCCGAAACAAGTACCTCTATGAACACCTACCGTAATCCAGAAGAGAGGATTACCTTAGAAAACACGGATGGAAGGAATAAGAAACTTAATGAGCTCGAAAGAACTTAAAGAACAATGGAACAACCGAATTGAATGAAAAATGAACGTCGGAAGACATTTTATAAGGATTATATCATATTATAGGTACATTTTTTGGACTAAAAATAAATTTGAAGAAAACCAAGTTCATGGTATTTACAAAAGCATCAAAGTTAAGCTAGTACTAGATAATACAGAAATTAAACAAATATCTTTGTACAAATACCTTGGAGCATGGATCACAGAAGATACTGATTAGACAAAAGAAATAAGATGCCGCATTGGAATTGCACGGTCAACTTTTAATAGAATGAGAAAACTTTTTTGTAAACGAGATATCAATATATCGCTCCGGATAAGAATGCTTTGATGTTATATTTTCTTTACCCTTTTATATGGGATTCAAGCTTGGTCACTTAAAAAATACAACATTAAAAACCTAGAAGCATTCGAAATGTGGTGCTACCGACGTGTTTTGAAAATATCATGGATGGATCGTAAAACAACCGAACAAGTTCTCGAAACAACTAGGAAAACAATGCGAAGTTTTAAATTCCATAAAAATCAGGAAATTAGAATACTTGGGGCACATCATACATCACACATCAAGACGTAAAGTCTAGTGGTTACGCAATCTCCGTGAATGGTTTGGATGCAATTCAACTGAACTATTCAGGCGCATATCCAACAAAATGATAATTGCCAGAATGATTTCCAATCTCCGATAGGAGTGGAACTTGAAGAAGAAGAATAAGTACATTATTATTATATCATATATATATATATATATATATATATATATATATATATATATATTTGTATAATATATGATATACACGATATTGAAAGAGGTTACAACATAGACAAGCAACAAAATCTACATCGACAACTACACAGTGAACACCCAACAATAATAGAAGTGTCAAATGCCGTACTAAAACTCAAAGACAATAAAGCCACAGGAATCGATTAAATCTGTTGGAAAATATATAAAAAAAGGTGATGATCAACTTTTTGCAGTAACCCATAAACTAATAGTACTTATATGGCAAAATGAATTTGTACCAGAAGAGTGGCTAAATGAAATAATATACGTTGCATAAAAAGGACGATTAACTGGATTGTAAGAACTATAGAGGCATTACTCTGTTAGCATCTTGACCTGTTAGCACCCTGCTTGGCGGGTCACATATCAGATCAATTTACGGTTGCAAAAGGCTTGAGACAGGGAGATCCTTTATCCACTACATTATTCAACTTAGTATTAGAAACTGTAATCAGAAAATGCAGCATGAGGATGGAAGAAACGATCATGAAAAATGAGCACCAGTGCTTGGCATTTGCTGATGATCTAACGATCCTAGTAAAAACCGAGTAAGAATTAAGAAGAGTTGTAAAGAAAATCATCGAAGAAGCACAGAAATTTAAATTGGAACTAAATGAAGACAAAACTAAATATATGATCATGGAAGGAACAGAAGGGAAAAAGAAGAC